CTTTTTTTGTTATATGCATATGCATGTATATATATATTGTCAAATTAATTGTTTTTTTTTTCTTTGTTTTTCTTATATTTCTTATTACTTTTCTTCAACGAAACAAACTTTATTTATGTATATTACGTGGGGAAACGATATCACAAAACGATACACTTTTTAAAGTAATAATTAACGTCAATCTTCGTGAGCGAGTAGCTCACGAATTTAACAAACTATAAGTATTTAGGCATAACTGAGCAATGTAAGAGTAAGATTTGTTCGTAGAAGGAACTTTGTTATAATTTTAAGGTTTTCGATTTGGCAATCTCGTTCGGTGATTGGTATAGTTACAAGATGGCGGCATTAAGATGCATCTTCATTATTTGAAAAGAAGGATGGCTAGTGGAAGAGGCGAAAGGATGTGATGAATTAAAGATTTAATCTATCCATTGGTGAAAGTCGATAAACGTGACACGTAATCGTTTAGGATAGTATTAAAGAGCTATCCTTTCGAATTAATCTATTTCATTTATATCGCCGCTGTTCATTGTTTAATTTTCAGTAAAAATTTGTAAGTATATTTTGATTTTTATCGAATTTTTTACACTTTTCTTTTTTGTTTGTTTCAATAATTTTAATGGTACTTCAGATGAAATAACACTTTATCATAGCCGGCAAATTGATTAATGGTTTTATATGTTTATTAATATATGCATATACATTATTCGATTATAATTATATAGAATCATTGTTACATTAAACGAAATTTCTTAATGTAAACATCAAACGTAAATGGTTGTAAAACTTAATGAAAAGTCGGTTTGTAATTTCAAAACGTGCAATAAACCGGTTGAAATTTATGATTTTATTATTAGAATCGAGTAAAGACAATACGGACACCCGGCTAAAAAATTATTCGATTAAGATATTTAAAGTAGACAGTTTTGAAGTTACTAATTAATGAAATAGCGTTATAAATAAATAAATTGACAATATTTATTAAATAGGATTTTGTAGTTAATTTTACTAAGAATCATGAAAAAATGGCGGATTATTCAAATTAATTCTA